ATGAGATAGCATTTAAAAACACCGTCAATCATTTGTTATTATTCCATAAGGAGTCCAGGCCGCTCATGTCCGTGAGCATGAATGTTATAGCATTTTTTAATACTCTGCAGAGGTTGTACATCTTTACCCATAAGCCGTGATTTACCCTTTCGCCCGAGGTGATCAGCCTCTTGACCCACTTCCAAGGAAGATCGACAGGGTTCACTATGAAGTCTTTCAAAGGTTCGTCTAACAAGTTAGGGTTGCTAGGTTTCCGTGGCAAGGGGATATAGAGCCCCCCTTTCAAATGGCACACTAACGCAGAAGTACTCATAGGAACAGAGGCCGCACTATATCCAGCTCGTCACGCCACTTTTGCATCTTTCGGTAACCACTAACAAGCTAGAAAAGACCCTCATACTGAACTAAAGCCAGAGCCATATAACACTCATGGTTGTACTATAAGTCCCGAATGATCACTTACAGATAAGTTCTTAGGGAGGACAAGAGCATCATGTAAAAAGCCAAATGCCCTCACCCTTTAATTTACGTTGCTAAAAAGCATCTTTTATTTCTGTTGCATATTCCATTAATCAAGTTACAGTTCATAATCATAATTAATTGAGCACTGGCATCAGCTACCCATATGCAAATCTTCCCAAGGTGTCAAGGAATCAGGATATCAAAATAACTAGGATAAATTTCTATGGGTATCAAGGTACACATATGCATATGATTAAAAGTGATTAAGGTGAATAGGACAAGGATAATCCCATGCTATACTTGCCTTGCTCAAAGTTTCCCTGTTGGTCCTAGCCGTCAAAGTATTGATCCTGATCTTCAAAGTACTGTTCACCGTCTATACTCGATTGATACAGCAACATATAAGCACCATAGGCAATCATGCACGAAGCAAACAAGAACTACAATTAGAACAGTACACCAACAGTGGGAAAACATGTTAAAAATCTTATAAAACTATTCTACATGTCGCTACGAACACAGAGACGCGAGAATCATTGAAATCGGAGCTAAAACGGTATAGATATGATGAATATAGGCTCTGGATGCATTTCTGTAATTACTACGAACTAATTTTGAATTAAAATAAAAGATAAATGGATTTTTCCTCTGGCTGGGCTGCGGGTTAAAAAACAAGTAAAGTTAGGGGCTTTTCGCAAAAGCGGAGATGGCTGACACGCGGGGTCCATGGACTGCGGGTTGATTAAAAAGGAGTAAAGGGATTCTTTAGAAAATCTGCCACGACGAAGGGGTATGGTCTAATCTAAGACGTTTATCTTGCGATGGGCGGCTGGGATTAGATGTGAGGGAGAGGGAGGGCTCGGACAACCGGAGAAGAAGGCCAGGGCGGCGGCTCAGCCATTGGAGGCGGCGATGAGTTCGCAGGCGAGTATGGATTTCGCGCTCTAGTGAACAATATACAACGGTAACAGGTGAGTTAGATACAGGATCTCACCGAGAACTCGGTGGATGGGACCTCGTCGACGGGAGCAGGCCGAAGAGGGAGGGAAGCAGACGGCGGCGGATCCAGGAGTTCCGGCGAGGTCGGGGTGCTTCCCCGAAGGACTCCTTCGATCCAATAGGTAGCGCGGCGCGTGAGGTGTGCGGCTGCGGTGCCGATGGAGGGTACGGGGAGGCGAGAGGAGGTTTCTCTGGAGTGAATTGGAAGCTCGAGCCGAGCTCAGTTATGGTGGTGGTGGCGGTGGAATTGGGAGCAGGAGGGTGAGAGAGGAAGCGGGAAGCAGCCAGGTGGAGGTAGGGAGAGTGCGAGAGGCTTTTGGGCACTGAAATGAGTAGAGGAGGGGGGAGAATGAGCGGTGGAGGCTCGGTCGCACGTCACTGGCGGCTCTGACCGGCAAGCACGTTATGAGCGGATCGATGCGAATGGCTGCAGCGCGTAGGAAGGGGTCCGTCCGGGGCGCTCAGTCGTGCAGGGGACGCGGGCGAGGGATCGGGGCTTGGTCCTCGCGGGCTCGGTCGCGATCCGAGAGAGGGGGAAGGGGAGAGGCTGGCGGCCACAGCCAGCGAGCTCGCGCTCGGTCAAACAGAGGGGCGCGGGTGAGGTAGGAGAAGGTACCGACAGGGAGGGCCCACCTGTCGGTGACGCTGTGGCGTGGGCCCCATGGGTCAGCGGCTGCTCGCGAGGGAAGTGGGCTGGGCTGCTGCTTCGGCGCCGAGGAGCAGGCTGGGCTGCTGCGGGTGTGCTCATGGGCCAAGGCCCGGGTGGGGAGAGGGGAAGTGCCGCGGGTAGCAGGCCAACAGGCCGAAAAGGGATAGTGAGGGAGAAGGCATTTCTAATTTCCTTTCTTTTTCTTTTATATTTCAAAGCCCTTTTCAAAGATAGTTTAAATCATTTTGAATTTTGGTAAATACCACTCATCTCAATAAATCAAATGCAGCAGCATGAATGCAAAAGAAAGTTTTTTAAACCTTATGATTTATTTTAATTTGGCAAAATTTATTATTATATTTGAATGCTCACATAAAGGCATAAATAAATCAACTTAAGCTATTTTGTAAAGATGCAAATTTTTAGGGTGTTACAAAGTACTAGAGGGAAATATGAGCGTATCCATACTTCGGAAAAAATAGCATCATTGATAGTTTGCATTCTGTCTCATTTAAACTTTTGTATTTACTTGACTTCCCTAGGTTGTGTGTTGTACCTTTTCTAGTCTAGGTTGCTAGCTTAGTTAATAGGATTAGAATCTAGGACACAAACTCTTTTGCAGTAGAAATATGTATGTTTTGATAAGCTATAGTTGGCCATTAATAACACACCCCCCCCGGCGCATCAAGATGCAGTGGCAGCAGGAAAGTTGCGCCCATGTGTTAGAATTCGTATTTAGAATCTTGCAATATTACAATTTGTGAAGCCGAAATGATTATAATACTACATTGTACCCTAATTTCATAGTACCATCATCATGATGCATTGATGCATGATGGTTCTTTATCACACTACGAGTATCTTGCTGGGATCTGGATCCTAAGGAAACAAACTTTAGTAACATCTAAGGCAATTTCTATGGGCAATTGATTTTTATCATATTATTCTGGTATGTTTATATGTTGTGATAAACTGACAATTGCTATATATGTGACCTTTTAAATGAGAAGTTCTGATAAATATTATTCAAAGTTGAAATGTCTTGGATAATGTGGATATGTCCACTCAACTTTGAAATTTCAACTAAATTTATCAAAACCATATTATAGGTTTCCATTTTTACATCATATATATAACAAAATCTGATAAAAATCGTGATCCCAAACCTGTTAGGAAAAAAGTTTCTATCTATGATACCGATTCTAACATGGTTGCACCGGCTGATAATTTCACTCTATCTTTGATGTAACAAAAAATTATGAGTAGACACTGCAAAAAAAGGTACAAAATAAAAATTATTAATTACTACGTTAGTTCAACTTACAGTTTATTTAGCTTTGTCCTAAGCTAATTTGTACTAACTTTAGAAAAATATAACACCTAAAATATAAAATTCATTTCTTTAAAACTGTATAATGTACGAGCTTAGGGAGATTCATTGAATTACTCTAGTAAAAAAAAAGTGACATTTTAGCGAACTGATCATAGATCAGTTGGTTAAATTCCTCGTGGTGAAACCTGCTCATCAAGGTTCAAGTCCTTGACTTGGCGCGGGTGCTCGCATTTTTCTAGATTTATTTCAAGATTTAACGGCGCTATGCTTTCAGTGGTAGGCGATGTCCCCGTCAACAGCGAGACGCCAGTGGTGACTTTGTGAATCTCGAGATCTGCCGGCTCAGTCATTCAAAGATGTTCATAGAGGTAAGGTTTGCGTACGTGTGTTCATAGAGATGAATGTGCATGCGTGTTGTGAGCATCTACATTATACTGTGTAATTCTAAAAAAATAACATTTTAGACATCTATGCCTTAAAAAAACAAGATTTGACCGCTTTTTGTGACTTGCAAAATATTCTTAAAATAAGAGGATAGTTTTATAAAAGATTAATATTTAGGACAAATATTGACATAATTTCTATATATTTTGAGACAACTAATCATATCATTTTTAAATATTCAAACTCAATGCATAAAAACTAATATGCAATCAAAGCTTGAAATAGTTGATTTGACAATCCTCAAACATCACCGCTTATTTGTAACGTGGGGAAGTAAATTTGTGGCTGCAGGGAGTAAAAATATAACGGTGTACAACAGAAAACAAGAAAGCAGTGTTACCAGAAGTTTCAACCGAATAAAAAAGAATAGGACAAAATTTTACCCTCCAATATTGAGGTTTGGTACAAGAGGACGTATTTGAGGTTTGAGCACATGCTCACTTGAACCAGTCTGGAGGTTGGTTTGATCAGAGTGAGCACAGAAAGTTGGTGTCCACTGTCCTGTTACATGGGTTCCATCACCAACTTAAAAAGATCAAACTGACCACCTGTTTGACTCCGACCTGGTAATTACACACTCATAATAGCTGAAACACTCCAGATCCCAGCAAATTTTACATCATAATAATACAAGGAAACTTCACAGGTAAACATCTAAAGCTACCGTCCGCTTCGCTGAAAAAAGCCGAAACACTGTTCCGGCTGAAAAAACAAGCTGAAAAAGACGGATTATAAGATAAGCGAAGAGGGCAGCCCATGTACGATGTACGTGGACCGATGCCAGAGTCAGCAGAATGGAGATCAAAATGCAACAAGTCTGTTTAGCTGGGTTCAGGCTAATTCACAAAAGGTGAAGAGTGACTCAAATCACTCTAGCAAAAAGAAACGGAAGATGCGGTTTCCATCCACTGTACAGGAGAAAAAAGGAGGATCCTCATCCAAAAACTTCTGAAACATCCAAATATTTTTGTATTTTTTTTTATCATGCCGATGGCTTTCTCCCTTTCTTTTTTTGTTCTTTCCACGGCGCAATTTGGCCCAATAGCTTGGATTGCCAGTGCTTTTGTTCTAGCTGCAACAAGACTTGGTGTAAGTTTGCTAATCTAAAACACTTCAGTAACTCCTTGTTTGGCAGAGAGGATCGTAGTCATATGCTTCACCAGCCTTAACAAATCGTCCCTTGACCCTCTTTCGCACATCTGCTCTAGCCTTGCGAGAAGCATACCTTATCTTCTTGTCGAACCTGTCAGAATGAACAAATGACCACTTAGGTGACTAGCTTTTAAAATATTGATTGCTCCAACTAAATATCTTTTACTGAGTTCCCATATGGTACAAATCAGCACAATGTTACCAGTTAAATCGCAGAAAGGATTTACAAGAGATGAACTTACTTTCTTCTCTTCTTCTTCTCCTTGTATCGTGTGATAGCGCTGTCTCTACTACCTCCAGCAATTGAGTCCTCAGGGCCAGGAGGCTGCCAAGGAGGCTCACCCATAAGGAGCAATGATGATACCACACAATCTTGGTGGTCTCCAGCACTACTCTCACCAGTCAAACCGGAAAAGGAAAGAGACAGACTAGACCTAGCCTGCCTCAAAGGGATACAAACACTAGAATCACCTTTCACTCCTGGGTTCAACATCCCAGAGTCAGCAGATACCGCATTGCTATTTTCAGGTTGCTTCAACTTGGATTGCTGAAAAGCATGAGACATGAATCCTATAATAATCATATGATAAACAAAGGTCTAACTTGTCCAAACAAAACTGAATATGGGATAACACCAAATGGTTTACAGATCTGCTGACATGCATTTAATGCTTATAGGTTACTATTTACAGTCCTAGCTGTGGTTACTGGTTACTTGAACACAAAACCAGATTCGTAAATTTGGCACAAGCTCTACCTCAAGACCAAAGACAAACAGGAAGAAGGCAAGATTGTTCCTGCCTTTTTGCACTTCAGAACAGTCAACAATTTTGAACAGTTTGTCAATAATAAGCTATGAATAAAAGAAAGAAAACCTGGGCCCCATATACCATATTATCTTCAAGTCCCAACTCTTGCTACATTATTACTTCAATTGTATAAAAGGTTAAACTGAAAGATATGAGTTCATGACAAATAATCTAGCAACCATTTCATTTAGTGCCTCGCTGCTTTTCTCGAATAAGGATTATAGTTGCACATGGAAAAACTTATCACTCAGTTCATTTTGGCAGTAGGTTTTCCATCTGAATTTTGATGAGGTAACAGGAAATTGAACAGCTTATAAGTTACACATATTGGGAGGACTACAGAACTGGTTCAGTTGATTGGCACAACAGAGAGAACACCAACACTATGAGATGCGCATGTGCACATGGATGTGAATGACTGTAAAGGATTAAGAAAAACAAAATATTCATTAGCAAACTACAAACCTCGGTGGAATTCCCAGCAGGTGCTTCCTTCACTTCAAAGTAACTGTCTATTCCAGCATCATCAAATAGTTGCTCTGTTTGAATATGAGAGGTACCAAAGAGTTCTTCATAATTTTCGAAAGCAAGGTCAACATCATCCACACAAAAATCTTCATATATGCTGTCCTTACTGAACATATCTTTATCTGGTGTATAGGGCACCTGCACACAGGAATCCTGTGAATATGTTAGTGACAGATTAATATTTGAAAAGGTACAATGGGATAAGGCCTACAAATTTTGCATATGCCATACAGAGAAATAACATATGACAAGATACAATAAGTCCTTTCACCGCACTGCATCTGTGAATTCTCACAGGTCACAGCCAAAAGAAACAAGGGAAAACATAATATACAGATTGTCCACCATAGGAGTTACTAAGGTGGTGGCTAGGTAACATAAATAGAATCTGAACAAGATTCAGATGTGGATGCCACATAGTGAAAATAAACAAAAGATATATACTATTCCCAGTTTTTCATTTCAGATAGGCAGGTATATGCAATTATTTATACGATCTCAGCAACATCAGTATTTTTGTGCATCGTACAGTAGATTTATTTATAAGCTCATTAGCAATTCTTTTGTTCATAATTCATGTTTTATCTTTTTTTTGTGAGGATTTTGTTTTATCTTATTGTTCATTAAGTAAACCAAATGAAATATAAAGCAGACGAAAGACCATACAAAAGAAAACAATTATGAGACCTGTCAAATGATAATCATCAACTGTAGGGAGTGAAGTCATTGGTCATCTTACATATATTGCACATGGAAGTAGAATATGCAGCAGCACAGGTGAATAACTAAATCTATGTATGAGGTATCAGGGATATGTGAATAGCCTTAAAGCACCTTATCTGGTGTGGAATCCACAGATCCAGCTGTCTGATCAGTAGCAAGCGGAAGCAGGTTCACTCCAGCTCCTGAAGAGGAACCTACCAAAGGCTTGTCACAAGTACCAAGATCACTTATAAGTGTTGCACTAGCTATATCTAACAAATTATTGTCCCCTGCAGCATTATCTTGATTACTGACACCGCTGTCGCTGATGCTCATCATGCTTATTCCTTGCTCACAGTTCGGCTCAGGTGCTACATTAGGAATATCTGAAACGAAGGACCATATTCTAGAAAGTTCTGCAGATGATGGACATCCTGAGTAGCAATTTATAGTCTGCCTTTTGTGTCCGGCAGCTGAGGATCCTGCAATGTGGCCATTCCAATCACAATTTTGGCAAAGCGAGGCATTCTCTGCTAGACAGCGGACCATAGCAGGCTGTGAAGCACACCGGTCACATAAAAGGGTCCTTGTATGGCGCCGAGAAAGAGCATTAGCTGAATGCACATTACGGTCGCATGATAAACACAAGGATGCTGCATCTGATTGGCAGTAAACCATGGACCTCTGCTCCCCACAGAAATCGCAGAGAGCACCCATGACCTTTCCTATCAGCAAACTTCAAACCAGCTTCAGGAGATGTATGATGCCAACAAACTCTTCTTCACAGTGTTTCCTGATCAATAGTTACAAGGAACCTGTGCAGTATCGATAAGCAACTATTAAAAAGAATTACTACTGCATCAGTGATCATTCTGAATCTTTTACAACAGGAATAAGAATATTATTATAAGTACTACTATTTTATGAACTAGTACCCATACATACATCGTGTTGAAAAATGTACATGATAGTATGACACTGACATGATGATAGAAATTTGTTACTGGCAGATACTCTGACCATGGCACCCACCCAAACAGCAGGTTGCTTTTTTTTTCAATTTAATCCAAGAGAAACACTCAAACATGTTCCACACATCAACATCTTACATCAGCTACCAGCAATATAAAATCATGGATAATATAGATTTACTTCCTAATTAGGACATATAGCCGCCATCTGCATTGAGACAATTCTAGGTATCAATTGACTCATTAATCCGTGGACTCCGCCTCAATTTGCCGACCAGGGTATAAAGAACTGCGAAACCCACTACAAAAGTGCAGGCAACTAGTCTTGGAATCTTCTGTTCTCCGTGCATATTATAATTCAAAGCCCCCACTCACTGCTTGCAAGAACGCAAGTATATATTCCACGAGGTCACTAGGTGCTACGAATCCTAGAAGAGATAATGTGTAAAAAAAATGGAAGCCAACCATCACAGGACACAGTTCATAGTCATCCCTGTTACTGGTTTCATTAGAAAATCCTATTCTATAATATCCAACTTCTTCCAAGCAACCAATGATAGCACACACGGAACATGAATGATTGGACCAATGAAGTGAGCCAACAAACACGTGTCGGTGATAATTTTATTTAAGTTATACTATTCCGAATAAGGGTTACTTTTTCACCAGCAAAATAATCTCAGAGTTGTCTAGAAGGTTTCAGACTAGAAAGAAAATCTTATGTGTGCAAAGCAAGAAGTAAAGTTGACTTCATCGGAAAACTATATTTGGAAGGAAAAAATGCAAATATTTTCAGGAAGTGATGCATAACAAAAAAATTACCCTTATAAAAAACAAAAAAAAAGGTTATAAGCATGAACATTTCTTCAAGCAGTAGATTCACATCTTTCACCTAAGACTGGATATAGGTACAAAACAAACCATATTTTGACGATTCATATGAGAAACAAAAAAAATCATTTAAAAAAGATGAAAAAGGTGAAATCTTGTATGCAAAAAAGATATGGCTTTGGGCACTGCAGAACCAGTAGCGATTACAGCGAGAGGAGGCAACACGACGATCGTTCAGATCAAGGGGGAAAAAAACCAGCACAAGCAGTTTTCTGACAGTATTCATGTCTCCCGTGTACTGAACTAACATAACCCAAGTGACGAAGAAAAATACAAACAGACATTTCTAACACCCTTAATCGGCATCAACCTGGTCTAAAACGCAAAACCAAACAAAAATCCAAGGCAGCCGCATCGGAATCACCGAAAAGAGAAACGGGGAACACCGAACACGATAAACCGGCCGGTAACAAAAAGATACGAATTTTGCTGAATCAGAGCTGGAATCAGACGTTGGGATTGGAGCCAGCGAGTCCGAAGGAAGAGGTCGATCCCACATCGAGAAGCCCGCGACAAGGGAGAGGAAGAATGACTCACCGGACTGAGGCAAAGCAGCCGCGTCGGCTGCTCAGATCCGCCGGAGCGGGCGCCGGCTCGGCGCCCCCCGAGCGCTCCGCGGGGGCTCGGGTCCGCAACAGACACCCAGGGGCTTCTAGAAAGGGGTCAGAACTCAGAACCCTAGTTAAAAACAACCTTTTTTTATAGAGAGGAAGGGGACGCCGGATCAAGAGAGACGCAGAGACCAGAGAAGAGAGAGAGAGAGAGGGTGCTGCAAAGCGGTAAGAAAGAGGACGGCAGGCGGAGGCTGGTAGCGTAGAGCAAGCGCGAGCGAGTGAGAGGGGATGAGGTGGCGGGGCCCACGCCGGTGCGCTTTTGTGCGCTTTTTCGGGAGCTTTTGTGCCATTTCCCTCCGCCACAGAGGATAAGAGGGGGGCGAGGGAGCCCGGGCCCGCGCCACGTGTGCAGTCTCGTTTTGGCATGCGCGGCCTCGGCCACGCGGTTCGTGAACTCCACTGTCACTGGCAGGTGGTCTCTGCAAAGACGGACCCACTAATCAGTGCATACTGTGGGTGCCGATCCGGTGCGCGTGGGCTCCGGCGGCGGCACTGTTGCCCCAAAAGGTTAAGCAGTGCGCGGCGCTCGAGCCGTTTTGACTTGTCCGTGGTACTGGTACAGGTGGGTTGCTTCTCTGGCTCGTGGGCCCGCACGCACCGACGGACAGCGGCCTCCTCCTGCTTGGTGCTTGCCCATCTGGCCATTTCTTGACATGACATCTGCCGGCCCCCGCCTGAGGTAGCGCGCCAACGGCTGGCTTTCTTGACTCCGGCTGGCTGTATATAGGGTGTGTTTTTCCTACCCTATCTTCCAACCAGGCTCACGCTTCCTGGAACCAACTTGAGCCTGTTTGTTGGTTGTACAAACGTCTTAGCAGGCTCGAAAGTCACCCAGGGCATCTTAGCCTGGCTTAAAAAAAACGCAATAGTTAGACGTTTTTTTTTTTGGAGCCAGCCTCGCACGAGTTCGTCTCACCGCCCGGTGCGACGACGACACGACGCCTCCCCATCGTTCCCCCGCCGGTGCTCCTCCTCCTCCCCTGCCGGAGAAGACGGACCAGTGTGGCCAAGCGGAGCAGGGGAGGGCATCGTCCTCGCGCGTCAATGGCATCCGCTACGGTGGAGTGGAGGTACTTTCGGTCAGGAACAGAGAAGTGCACCCCACTTGTTCGACAAAATCACTCACAGGGGTAAACTTACCAATTGGAAAAAGACGTGACTCTATCAAAGCAAACCAGACAACCAAATACATCGTGCGCTAGCCAGGCTTAGATAGTACAGACAACCAAACAACCAGGGATTGGCTTGCTAGAACCAGGCTTGGGCTGCCCAGGCTTAGATCCTAGCCAGACTAGAAGTAAGCCAGAAAACCAAACACATTCGTATGGTTTGGTGCTCGTATGATTTGGTTAGGTTTTTAGTTTAAAGAAAAAGGAATTTAGCATCAATTTTTGTGTGATTTTCTTATTTAAACTAGTCTTTTACTCGCATATTTTTTATTTATACCAGGGGCAAGAAAAGGGTATTTTTCATGTTTTTTAATAGAGAAAAGATTTAGATTTAGGCCTCTTCAAAGAAGAAGCATCAATCCTTACAAATACACCTTAAGAGGGAGATAAAAAAATTAATATTATTGACCAATACGAAATCTAAAAGATCATCCACGGATAGCAAAGCACTCCATTGCTCTTGTTTTTTAGAAGTTGGAACGACGAAATTAACCAAGATGGAAATGAGTTATACATATAATAACTCTGTGAATAATATTTACGTATGTACATGTGTGATAATACAGAAACATAGACTGCTCCATAGGATGACAAAATTAAGAAGCTACAAATAAAGAGTATTCTAGATTCATCAACTTATATTGAATCAGCACGCCCTACAATATGGAAATGGGCAACTATAATACATTTTTGGCATGTTGCTATCTTTCTTACGAATGTATTTGATCCATCGATCGGACGCATAATTTCGATGGTTACAATTCATCAGCTCCGTACAAGGTACACATGTGGAAGTTTGGCATGAAGCTGAGCATCAACAGCCCTTGATTAATTGGAGTATCATTCCACGTACACGTACTAATGGCCTGTTTAGATTCCAAAAAATTTTGCGCAGTACCCGTCACATCGAATCTTGCGGCACATGCATAGAGTATTAAATGTAGACGAAAAAAAAACTAATTACACAGTTGGGTGAGAAATCGCGAGATGAAACTTTTGAATCTAATTAGTCTATAATTAGACACTAATTACCAAATACAAACGAAATGTTACAGTGAGCCAAAATTTAAAAAATTTTAGATCTAAACGCCCCCTAAAAGACTCATCCTATCCTTCTGCTTGCCAATTTGGCCATTTCTTGACATGACATCTGCCAGCCCCCGCCTGAGGTAGCGCGCCAACGGCTGGCTTTCCGGACTCCGGCTGGCTGTATATAGGGTGTGTTTTTCATGGCCTCTCTTCTGACCCGGCTCACGCTTCCAGAAACCAACTTGAGCCTGTTTGGTTGGCTATATAAACCTCTTAGCCAGGCTTGAAAGTCACCCAGGGATCTTAGCCTGGCTCAAAAAAAAAAACAAGGGTTAGACATTTTTCTAGAGCCAGGCCCGAGCCAGCCTCGCACGAGTTCGTCTCACGGCCCGGTGCGACGGTGACATGACACCTCCCCGTCGTTCCCCCGCCGGTGCTCCTCCTCCTCCTCCCCTGCCGGAGGAGACAAACCGGTGTGGCCAAGCGGAGCATGGGAGGGGCATCGTCCTCGCGCGTCAATGGCATCCGCTATGGTGGAGTGGAGGTACTTTCGGTCAGGAACAGAGAAGCACACCCCACTTGTTCGACGAAATCACTCATAGGGGTAAACTTACCAATTGGAAGAAGATGTGACTCTATCAAAGCAAACCAGACAACCAAATACATCGTGCACTAGCCAGACTTAGACAGTACAGACAACCAAACAACCAGGGATTGGCTTGCTAGAACCAGGCTTGGGCTGCCCAGGCTTAGATCCTAGCCAGACTAGAAGTAAGCCAGGAAACCAAACACATTCATATGGTTTGGTGCTCGTATGATTTGGTTAAGTTTTTAGTTTAAAGAAAAAGGAATTCAGCATCAATTTTTGTGTGATTTTCTTATTTAAACTAGTCTTTTACTCGCATATTTTTTTATTTATACCAGGGGTAAGAAAAGGGTATTTTTCATGTTTTTTAATAGAGAAAAGTTTTAGATTTAGGCCTCTTCAAAGAAGAAGCATCAATCCTTACAAATACAACTTAAGAGGGAGATAAAAAAATTAA